CAGAACCTCAGGAACCCCCTGAGACCCAGAACTCCTCCCAGAGTCCCAAAATTACCCCAGGGCCCTGGGACACCTCTCAGAGTCCCTGGACACCCCTGAAGTCCTCAGGTTTCCCTCCAGAGTCCCCAGGGTCCTCCCCAGTGCTCAGGACCCCCTCCCCAGCCCTGGGACATCCCCAGAGCCCCCATGATCCCTCCAGACCCACCCTGTCCCAAATCTCTGGGGATTCTCCAGAGCCCTGGAATTTTTCCCCCCAGTCCCTGGGGACAGCCCAGAGCCACAGGACCCCACCCAAGAGCCCTGGGACCCCCCAGACATCCCCTGTCACCTAGGGCTGATGCGCTTGGCCACCACGATGATGTCACCCAGGCTGGCTGGGGACTTCACGCGTGCGCCTGAGCCCATGGTCATGGCCACCAACTTCTCCGTCAGCGTGTGACAGATCTGGGGGACAGCAGTGGGCACTCAGTGCCACCATCAGCACCAGTGCCACCAGTACCAACAATGTCACCATTGCCACCATTGTCACAAGTGCTGCCCACCATTGACACCAATGTCACTAGTGCCACTGGTGCCACCACTGCCTACCAGTAGCACAGCTCCACCAGTACCACCAGTGCTGCCATTGCCACCAGTGTCACCGGTACCACCAGTGTCAGCACTGCCACCAGTGCCATGCCCTCACTCACCTTCAGGATGGCGATGCAGTGGGACACCAGACCCCTGTGGAGAGGGAGGAGGGTGTGAATCCACCTGTGTCCCCCCTGCTCTGCCCTTGTCCCCTGTGTGTCCCCCCTCTCCTGCCAGCACACACCCAATGTCCCCCAGACCTGTGGGAATATTCCCACCCCAAGACCATCTTGAAGCCCATCCCCATGGCTTGGTGACCTCCAAACCTGTCCCCTGCATCCCATGATGGGGGCCTGGCACTGCACAAGGGTCCCCAGCACTGCACAGGGGTCCCCAGCAGTGGGGGGACAGAGGGGACACTCACGAGGCGTCCTCGACCCAGTCCTCGTTCTCCAGGATGGCCTCTATGTGGGGGTTGGTGATGACCACGTCGTCCAGCTCCAGCTCCGAGGGCTCTGACGGCGTCTCCGTGGTCCCCATCAGGTCCACGATGGGTCTGTCAGAGACATGGGGGACATCCCACCAAGGGCCACCTCCTCGGGCTGCCCCACAGCCCCCATGGCCCTGGTGCTGGTGGGCGTGTCCCCGTCTTTGTTCCCCCTGGTGATGTGGATGTGTCCCCAACTTCTTCCCTCAGATGATGCTGGACATCCCCTACATCATCCCCCTGACTAAAATGGATGTGTCCCCGTCTTTGTTCCCTAGATGACGGGGACATGTCTCCATCTTTATCCCTTTGATGATGGCTGATGTGTCCCTATCTCTGTCCCCCTGATGATGGTGGGTGTGTCCCCATCTTTGTCCCCCACACTGTCTCCTTGATGATGCTGAGCATGTCCCCAGCCCATGGGGGTTGCAGTCCCTCCCTGGTGGGGACAGTGATGCTGCCACCCCTGTGGGTCACTCACTTGGTGTCATAGTGGTGGCGCAGGTCCTTGGGGTGACAGTAGCGCTGCCTGCACACCACCACCAGCGCCACGAAGGACGCCAGGAAGATGGTGGCCAGCACCCCGATGGCCACAATGACAACGGTCTCCATGGCTCGTCCCCGCCGCAGGGGCTCAGGCGTCCGGGGCCATCACAGCACGCTGGGGCTGCAGTGACAGGGGCACCGGGGACTGGAGCCCCACACATGTTCTCCTCTCCACCCCACACCCCAAAACGCCCAGCCAGGACCTGGTGACACCCCCAGATTGTCACCCCTCTGTCCCCAGGGTCTTTCTAGGCAGTGTCACCTGGGGCATGCAGTGACTCTGGGTGTGGGGTACAGCAGGATCTGGGGGGCTGCCCTCATCCCATCACCATGGCTATGGGGACAAGAGGACAGGGGGACAGGGACTGGGGTCAGGAGAGCAAGGCCTGGGCCATAGGGGGGTGTGGGGACCCCCAGAGTGTGTCCTTCTGGGGACACTCACAGCCCTGTCCCTATGGGAACATGGAGATGCCCAGAGCCTTTCCCTATGGGGCCATGGGCACCCCAGAGACTGATCCCTACAGGGAGCCCAGAGTTCCTGTCCGTGTGGGGCCACAGGGACCCCCAGAGCCCCCAGTTCTGATTCCTGTGTCATGTGGACCTCCAGAGCCCCCTTTCCATGGGGATCCCCCAAATCTGATCCCAGCTGGGCCCTGGGAGCCCCCAAGCCAGCCCTGCTGCAGTAGCAGGGCCTGGTGTCCCTGTCCCCATGGACAGCAGGACAGCAGCCATACCAGGCCCAGGGGACCCCCTGTCCCCACCCGGATGGACCGGCAGTCCCTGTGGGGTTCCCACCCTGCGGGGGCACCCCCCGTGCCCACCCCGCGGGCCGGGGGCTCCATCCCTGCCCTCCCTACCTGCTCCAGCCGGGAGGCACCGCCGGGCGGGACACGGGGACACGCGGGGACGGTGCCACTTCCGTGCTGGGTGTGCAAACACGGCCACACCGACCTTCGCCCCCTGACTCACACCTGGGCCCCCCACGGAAGGGGGTGCGGGATGGGCCCCCAAAACCCTCCCGCCCCACTGCTTCCCCCC